TTTCTGGGGCCCTATACCAGAGGAAGTTCCAGGCTCAGGCCACAGCTGCCAGCAGCTGCCAGCCCTCTTTAAAAGCCAGCCCCACTCGTTGCTGTCTGGCCAGCCACTTCCAGGCCAGAAGCAGCAAGTCCAGTGCAGGGACAGCATGTGGCAGTATGCATGTGGCTGCTCTAGCCCCTCCCCCTGGTAGCGGCAACCTGTGCCCCACACTACTGATGGCTGCCGCACTGGTCATGCTGACCTGCTATGCTGTCCACTGCCTGGCCAAAGGCCATCTCACTCCTTCCAGCTCCCCCACATGCAGCGATCATATGCCCACCTGCCATGCACCATCCCTAGGGTGGCTGTTGCAGCACTTGCCACCTCCACCCTGTCCACCTGGCTGGACCCTGCCAGGGACACCAAAGACAGGCTCTGGGAAGCCAGTCAGCACTTCCAGCACCCTCCTGGGCCTCCAGCTCCACTGTCTCTGGGCTTGCCAGGCCCACTTCAACCACTGCCTGGGCCAGACCTGTGCCCTGGTGAAGTGTGTCTTCAGCTGCCTCAAGGGACACTGGAACACCCTCACCAGTTTGCCAAGGACAACCTCCCCCAGGTCATCATCACAGCCTATGTGCTGCATAACATCTGCGAGTCCTGGGAGGAGCTCTTCCACCAGGCCTGGGTGGGGAAGGTGTGATGGACAGAGGATGCCTGAGAGCAGGAGCACCACCTGCAGCGGCAGCAGCACATCCTTTCTTCCCCCCAACTCACCAAGGCCCTAGAAGAGCTGAGCACCCGCCAGTGGGGTCTAGGGCACCAGGTGCAAGAAGTACTGGCTGACCATCTCCTCCAGCATTCTCCACTGTAGCCCACTGGCACCACTGCCCACGGGTCCCCCACCCCCAGTACCATGCTCACTGCAGACACATTTCACAAGAACAAGTTTTTATTCCCCTCACAGACTCAAACAGGTTATATTCCCGTCACAGAACCAAACAGACTCCCCATCCCCACTCTCTTCCCAAAAACAGGGACCCCCACACAACCAGAGCCCATCTACCACCCACCCAAGCCACCAACAATAAAACACCTTCTTCCCCATGAAAACTTTGTTCAGTGTCCTTTGTGTGCCTTCCCAGGATGGGGGGCCATAGGGTGGGGGTGCCTAGAGGGCAGAGCCTGGGAACAGGCAACCAGCATTCCAGCCTCTGCCCACTGCCCCATGAGTGCAAACAGCATGATGAATGTGGTGGGTGGGGGGCGTGATGGCAGCTGGTGCTCCCATGGCACAGGTAGCTCCCCCTCCAGCAGCTGGTGTCCACAGCCAGCAGGGCTGACATGTGGTCCTGTCCCCACTGCAGGCAGTTCTGGCTCTGTGTCCACATGGATGCATGGTGAGTGGTGGGGGAGGGCTGGGCAGCACTAGACCCAGGCCTGGGGCCAAGCCAGGGGCTCCTGGCTGCTGGAAGCAGCACAGAACCTCATCCCAGGCCCAGGCAGGGGCCTGCTGCTGGGTGGCAGGTAGCTACTGGGGGCAGACATGGCTAGGGTCGGGGGTTGGGCAGCAGGTGGCACAAAGGCAGCAAGCCAGGTGGCTGGGCAGCAGGCCAGGCAGTGCCAGACAGCAGCACCAGGGTACAAGCAGGCTAGGGCAGCTGCCCTGCAGGCTGCCCAGGGGTACACCGGGGCCTGGACTGGCTTTAGATTCTCTGCTGGTTTGCCCCAGGGCTCTGAATGCCTGCAGGCTTTTAACGCCTGAGACAGAGGCTGCAATAGAGGCAGCCCAGCCCTGGGGCAGGAGATACTCCCAGCCCAGAGCCCTTGGACTAGCCTCAGGCTGGCCCTCTAGTGGCAGGGTTGACCTAGGAGCAAACTTGCTACTGGATTGCATCTTCACATGCATAACTGCGCAGTAACTAATCACACATAAATTTGCTACTTGCATTTGCGTTTTTACTGCGCAGTAAGTGTACACATGTGTAGGCACATGTGCTTACTGTACAGTAAACTACAGTACTGTGCAGTTAAGCATCTTGTATAAACACACATTCTAGCCACAATAACAAATGAGTGTATACTGGTCATGAATTAATTTCAGTTGGAAGTTGGAAAACAATTTTTAACTATCAAAGGAGTACAGTTCCAAAACAGCTTTCCAACAGGAGTTAAGAGTTAAATTTACCAAGATGTATCTTATTATAAAGTAGAGATTATAAGATGCTTTCACCATAACAGCAGGAAACCAGATGATGATCTAGGGGGACCATCCCATTCATATGTTCCCATTGTTAAAACAGTCATCTTGGGTAGGAGAGGATTTCAGTCCCTACTCCGATAAACACTTAAGTGAAGCAAAGAGAAATTGAGAGAATACCTGATAGCCTAATATTTACGCATTATTTTGGGGAGCAGAAGATGTGGGATCAAGTTGTAGATGGGAACCAGAAGATGTGGGAGCATGTGCTCCAAGGCTATTGGATAAAAGGGCAATATCACCACAAGAGAAAGTCAGGTAAATCAGCCTTATATTCCAGAAAAATATTTATCACTGTGAATTCTATGTACCTATCTGTCCTCGAGTCCCTGAGAAAATCAAGACTTAAGCTATAAGCCTCTCCTTGGCATTTCTTAATGACTAGCTTAGCTAGCTCCCCACAGATTCTTATTCAGTAAGGCCATTGACAGATGTTCACTTAAAGGCATGATGGGATCTGATCTGCAATTCCAACAGTCATACCTCCTGCCATGCCACACCTCTCCCCGCACTAGCAAGTAGCAAGTCAGGTGCCTGGTATATCCCACATCAGTGTCTTGATGCACTCCACAGTGTTCCCAAGGCTGGGAGCACCAATCAGCTCATCAGTTCAAATTACATGTTCAAGTTAAGGCATGTTGGGACCCAGCCACAAAGTTATTACTCCTATTTTGTGAAATAAATTTGTGGCTCATTCCCCGTTTCGTTGCACCATTGACTGCATGAATGTGTGTCTGGATTACTACCTCAGATGTGAATAATTGGTTAATCACCTCTTAAGTATAATGTTTGCCAGGGGCCTAAGAATCCTAGCCCAAGTTTGGGCTGTGGATTTTATTAGATGGCAAGACAAGGCACCTAGAAGTTAGGCATTTCAACTCTGAATGTTGTAGCAACAGGTCACAATATCTGAATTTATACAATAGTCAACACAATAAAAACCCAACAGCACTTTACCAACAGAGGCAGTGCATTAGTTCGACTTAGCTCTGCAGCTTCTGTATAAACCACACGCTTCAACAGAGCTTTTTGAGTGCCTTTATCTAAAGCTGAATCAATCAGCTAATAGATAAAAGCTCCAAAAAAAGACCTTCTACAGCACCGAATCTATACAGACATTGGGCAAGCCTGATCAAACTAATGTGATGCCTCTTCTGGGAGGGCGCTGGGCTCAGAGCAGCGGTGCATGAAGTTTAACCTAAAGCACTGTGGGGGTTTTTGGGGGTGGTTGGGGTGGGGGATTACATCTGTAAGCAGACAGTATGGGTCAAATCCTAACTGAAACCTTTGGGTACTACTGTAAAGAAAATCTATGGAAGTCACAGTAAGATTAGCCTGAAAGCCTACTGAATCCAAGGTAACATTTCCATTGGCTTCAGTGATCTTTGGATCTGACCCAGGGATGAAATCCTGGCAAAACTTCTATTTACTTCAAAAAGACAGCCTTTTGTTCCCAGTTCTTTTAAAAAGTGAAATAATGCAGTCACTTAGCTCATGTATTACATCTTTTTTCAATTAACAGTGATTTGTTTGCATGAAACCATTGTCACATAGGCATCATACAAAACTACAGCTACTTTAAAAATAAAAATGTATTAAAAGATGCACACAAATGTAAACGTTTTCTGGATTCCTGGAACCAATTTCAATTTTATTTCTAACAAAATACTGGGAGAATATTTCTCCACTTTGGCATTAGCAGTGAATCTTGTGTGTGTGTGTGTGTGTGTGTGTGTGTGTGTGTGTGTGTGTGTGTGTGTTCATCTGCAGCAGTGGTTCTTAACCTGTTTAGACTTGAGGCACCCCTGGTTTGATTTGAGGTATCCCTGTAAAATGCTAGCTTTTAGTTTTCACTCATTTTCTGACTACGGAAAAATAGAGCAGTTTTTCTATTGTAAAAAACTCAAAAAGATCACAACAGGTCAAAATGTTTTTGACATGATGGATTCCAATTTCAAATCTCTTGGTTTATCTTATGAATCATGTTTGTACACCTAAGAATGCTAACACTGCAAGGCACCCACATCACTCTTGAAAGGATCTCAAGGTACCACAGGCTGCCATTACAGCCTGGTTGAGAATCATTAGTCTACAGTTTGTCTCATCACTAATTCACTCCAAATTCCCATAATAGTATTTGAGAGTTCTGTATATAAAGGAATGGAAGAACTGCCCAATAAAAGTTCGATCTTTCCCCGGCTTAGCAGCCTGACCGTATTTTAAAACTTTGGAAGTCATTTGAAATATATCATTCTTAATTTTTACCTTAGTCATAATATCAGCTTCAATTTTTTAACATTAAGTTAGTGGCTATTTTTGCTGCTTCAGTGAGGAAATACTCATTGATTCCACTGAGGAAAGGATTAAGACTTGAAAATAAATAATGAAAATTAGTTTAGTAGAAGAGTATATGACCTTTATTAATGGAAAAGGTAGATTTCTTCACACTTTTTTAAGTCTATAAACTAAGTAGTATAAGCAAGAATAAAACTTATAAGACACAGCATTTCTATCTCAAAGATGTTTACACTTGCAAACACATAACTGACAGTGTTAGAAAAGGTTTCACAGTTTCAATATTTCTTTTCTAAAGCTCTCCAATTACTTAGGCCTTTGAAGAACCCATTCATCTGAATCAATACCAAAAAAAAGGGGAGGGGTGAAAGAACCATGAGCTTATACCATTAAATGTACAAAATACCTTGAGTGCCGTACAAAGTATCTGTATCTGCTATTTCATATTTGATCTTGGTATTTACTATACCTGTGGATCAAAAAGAAAATAAGGACGTCCATCCCGCAACTGAAGTGCAATGTATTCCTCTTGATTCCCAGGTGATGCAGAGAAAAGAATCAGGCCATCAGCTTCCTTGGTTCTAAAGCTCACTTTAATACCTAATTGGAGAAGTAGGCATATATGTAATACTGATTATAGATTCTTGAAGATAATGCAGTCTAATTGGAAACTGAAAGGTATGCTCAACAAGAAAACACAGCAGATCAAAGTCCTAGTATGGAATCCGGATAACTGAAAGCACATTGCAGTCATTAGGGGCTAGATCCCACTACTTTTTCCAGTTTGTGTAGAAGCTTACTTCATGAAAATCTCCTCTGAAAATCAATGGCACAACCTGTACAGTAAAGGATTACTCATGCAGAACGCACTTGCAAAGTCTGACTTTATATAGCTAAGGGATCTCTTTCTTAAGGAAACGTAATTGAAAAATGTGACAGTCTCTTGTAAGCGGACAAGAACAGGATAGAACCCAAAATAGAGGAGGTCTAAAACTAGTTGTACAACTGACTCAATGGGCACATCTACATGTGTTATTAATTTGATGTACACTTACTATGCAATAAAAATACTGCACAGTAAGCCTACTCAGGAGCATGTCTACATGTGCTTCTTCTTAGGAACAGATTTTCTCCCAATGGGAGCAGCCTGGTACAGGGACCAGGCTAGCCTGGGGACTGGCAAGAGACATGGGGTGGTCCCAGTGGGCACAGGGCAAGGAGAAATCTGCTGGCTGCAGTGGCAGCTGTCTCCTGGCCCTATGCACATTGGGATGGGACCTGATGTACATGGGGCTAGAAGAGAGCTGCCATTGCAGCAAGCAGAATGCTCCTGACCCTTTGCTCATCCAGTTGTAAGCCCCCTGCTGGACAAGACTTCCCTGCCTGGCAGGGGGTTGCTGGGAGCTGTCTGGGGTGTGGGACAGCTGGGGGTGAGCCTCCTGCTGGTGGGGTGGGGCCACAGGACTCACCTTCACCTGCCCTTCTTGGCATAGAGCCAGCTGCTCTGGGAGCAAGTGGGGACTAAGAATCCAGCCCTTGCCTATCCCCTGGAGCAGCTCCATGCCACACTGAGCTGGCTGCTCCATGTAGCAGGCAGGGGCTGGGAATCCAACCCTCACCTGTCCCTCAGAGCAGCCAGCTCCATGGGTTCCAGGACTCCTGTGAGCAGCCTCCTTGGAGCCAGGACAGGAGACAGAGAGCTCCTTAGTCCTGGAGCTAATCAGCTCCCAGCTCCTGGGGCAAACCAAGGAGCTAAGCAGAACCAGGACCAGGGAAAGAAAGCTCTCTATCCCCTGTGGCCCCCTGCTTTCTAGGGCAGCCAGGAGCAAATTTGTTCCTGGCCAGAGTCTACATGAGTGTTACTGTCCAGTATCTACTGCACAGTTAGTCTACTATTTGTATTTACAGGTAGTTGCTAACTTCGTGGTAGACTAATTTACTGTACAGTAAATGTGAGCATGTGTAGACAGTGATGCTTTGATGTGCTGTAGACTAAGATACTGTGCAGGAAAGCATCTCATGTAGACACACCCAGTGTGTGGCTTTCAACTTTAGCCTTAATGTTATTCCCATTTTCAGATAAGAATGATATTTAGCAACTAAATGGTTCCTAAAAGATGTATAATTCTATTTAGGGTTTTAAAAAGTGTATGGAAGAAGAACTTGCATTTCCTAAAGTTTTAACAAATTTTGAAAATACTTTTAGAGATAATTTAAAGAACCAAGAACTTTATTTTAAACATAAGGACATAGATTACTCTCCTCATCCTTCGTCTCAGTTTCTGCAAATAAAATATCATAAACATATTGCATAAGAATAAAATGTATTTTATTTTATGAACTTTTAATTCCAAATGAAGTATCAAGGCAATGAGCTACTTCAGTGGCTTGATACATACTGGAATACATATATGGAAAGGCAGCTGGCACCTAAGAAGCCACCAAAGTTTACCCATTAACATTAAATGGTTATTACAATGTTGCAATACCATTCTTCTCAACTTGTGAGATATATGGAACAAAGACCAAATTTACGGGCACAAGAAAAACTATGAAGTGCAAGAAGCTTAAGGGATGCAATATTTATTTCTTAAGCACTAAGAATGTTTCTTAGAATTTTCAGTTGTGTTTGTATAAATGTACAATAAGAAATCCATACTGCCTAAGAGAGTGTCCCTGGGCCTCAAATGAGCCATACCAAAGGCAACTCACCCAAGTTAGTCCTATTCTCACAGAAAACAACTCAAACATGACCTAGCCCTCATTCCTCACCAGAGGCCTCACAGAGCCCAGGTTAGAGCCCTGGTTGTGTGACAAAGAAGGAGTTCTAATTCTTCCTAATCAGAGATGGATATCCTACAGGGCCACATGAAGCCAGCCAGAAGATGGAAGGGTAGTGGGCAGTGTTATGACTAGACCTATGTGGTCAGAGTAATTTCTCCCTCCTAAGCCTTATGTTTCTTCATGTTATTTACCAACTAAACACAGACATACTTGTTTGTATGACTTTAGTGCCACCACCACCACCATACAGGGCCCAACTACTCCAAATTTTCAACTAGGATTACTGGGAGTAACAACAACTGAATCTGTGTAAGCACCCTTTGGGAAGGTCCACCTAAAATTGGTACCAAGGGTTTTGTTTACTTTTCCCAAAACACCAACAGTGCTCACTGAGAAATTAGACTGAGTGCCAATACCTTGGGACACCATTTAGGGTACAGAAAACTGGAACAGTGAGACTAGATCCTAATGTAAATCCTAGCATAGGATTCAAGCTGAATCTGGTCATACTGGAATATTACTTGTGGACCTTGCACAGCATAAAGAGGATTGATCAGATATTTAAGTAAGCTGTATGAATCTCCTACGAGACCAGAAGACCTTGTTTTTTTAGCATTAGCATAAATATCCATATTCTTGGCTCTTTCACAATGCCTGGTACGACTGAAGTACAACCTATATCTTTCTTAGATTAATAAAGTTGTGGGTTGCCCATCTTCTCTGTGTGCTTCTTCTTTATTAAGCTAAGTGGTTTATTTACAATCTTTGATTTAATTTGCAAATTCTTATTTCTCTCTCGCCCTTTTTTCAGCTTTCTTTCTATCATTATTACAATGCCAACATCTGATCAGCACTGTGAAAAACCAGTGCATATGCAGGCAAAAAAATTCCCGCCAAAGCATGGCTTCCCTTCTTTAGTTTTTTTTTATGGAAAAAATTATCTGGGACCAGACCAACCTTCCATTGCTCACTTTATCTAGAATTCCTCTGAATGGCCAGGTACAGACATTACACTCTTACTGGTATAAGTGATTGGAAACCAGTCTAAACCCGTAATAGAACAGAAGTTCAGCACACATGAAGTAGTTTAAAATGGCGGAATCTGGTCTAAGATTTCCCGGCCTCCCCTCTCCTCCCCCCCCCCCCCCCCAACTTTGGCTACTATGTTATAGTGTGGCAGTTCTTTTAAGGAGAATTAGACCTAGTCACACCTGTGGCTGATCAACCAGGTGATGATAAAAGCCTGCTGGGTGTTTACTTGGGCAGAGCTGTAAAGAGGTTCTTTAGCTGGGAGTTTCTGGGGGGCATAGGGGAAGTAGGGTAGGATTTTTGGGGGGCAAGTGGCTTGTCAAGGGGAAATCTGTGGAGAGTAGATAGATTGTGAAGGAAGTCCCAAGTTAGGAAGAAAGGATGGCTGATGGGCTGTCCTAGTTCAATGGGAATAATTAAATCAGAGCCTTGAGAAAGGAGCTGAACTGGATTTTGGGTGCATTTTTGCTGTCTTTGTGATGGAAGAGACATGCTAGCACTCTACGCTCATTAAAGGGTCTGTCTGGATACTAAGACTGTCTGCTGCTTTAATTATGTACCTATGGATACTTCCAGTGAGGGATGATATTCCACAGGTGGCATGTTCTTTGGAGTGCTTCTCTCTTTTGCGGGGGGGAGGTGGAGGACTGTTCTTATCAGCACTCTAGTTCAGCCAGCTTTTTGTGTGTGTAAAATGGCTATTTTCAAATAAGCTCTTGAATAGCTGAGAGATGCTGCTGCTGTGTTTGTGAAGGTTATGTAGAACTGGTGTCATTTGTCTATTTGTGGCTGCTTAATCTGTATTGTTCTGCAGTGTTCCCTACTAGCTTTCCTTGCATGTCAACAGGGGAGGACAGAACTTGAATATTTTCTCTAGAACAGGGTGAGGGCTTGAGTACAGGACTAAGTGCCTGTCATGCCTCTCTAGCTACAGTTTGGTGGGAAAGAGGAACAAGCTTCATCCTTGAAGGGAAGATGACAATCCCTGTAATCAGAATCTTATACATTGTTGGTCTGCAAGCCAGGAAGGTCTGGATCACACTTGTAGAGCTGTCTCAATTTTTTTCCCCTGCATTCCTTATAGGATAACCTATAGTTGGGAAGTGGGATGAATCTGGAGAAATACAGTATTGCCAGGCTGTGCTTGGTGTAGTTCTCTCTCTTCCAATAGTTTGTCTTGAATGCAAAGTCTCTTCTGTATCTGTACATGAAACAACATTCTTTAGCTCTAGGACTCTGTACTACAAAAACCTATCAACGGATGCAGGAGTTGGGGTTTACATCATTTACTTAGACTTCAGGAAGGCCTTTGATACGGTATCCCACCCCATATTGGTGAACAAGTTAAGAGGCTGTGACTTGGATGACTACACGGTCCAGTGAGTGGTGAATTGGCTAAAGGGTCGTACCCAGAGGGTCGTAGTGGATGGGTCGGTATTGACCTGGAAGGGAGTGGGCAGTGGGGTCCCGCAGGGCTCGGTCCTTGGACCCATATTCTTCAATGTCTTCATCAGCGACTTGGACGAGGGAGTGAAGTGTACTCTGTCCAAGTTTGCGGATGAGACAAAACTGTGGGGAGAAGTGGACACGCCGGAGGGCAGGGAACAACTATAAGCAGACCTGGACAGGTTGGACATATGGGCGGAAAACAACAGAATGCAATTCAACAAGGAGAAATACAAAGTGCTGCACCTAGGGAGGAAAAATGTCCAGCATACCTACTGCCTAGGGAATGACCTGCTTGGAGGCACGGAAGAGGAAAGGGATCTTGGAGTCCTAGTAGACTC